ACCGGATCAGCAAGTTGAAGTGGCAGTGGGCTGGCCATATTAGCCGCAGAACCGATAACCGTTGGGGAAAACGAGTTCTTGAGTGGAGACCGCGTCTCGGCAAACGTAGTGTAGGACGCCCACAGGCCAGGTGGAGTGACGATTTGCGCAAGATGGCTGGCAGGAGCTGGATGCGAGAAGCCCAAAATCGATCTAAGTGGCGTGCAATGGGAGAGGCCTATGTCCAGCAGTGGACTGCGATAGGCTGATGATGATGATGATGATGTGTAATTTATCTATAATATGTATGTATTTAAAAATTATATAAGTATGTTTATCAGCAGTCTGGTTACCATAGCACAGGCTCTGCCTAGTGTGTGAGATATATTATATTATTATTATATTATTGGTCTATCAAAACCTTTTTTTCGAGAACCCGTTTAGGTATGAAGGTGAGCCTAAAATGAAATCTTTTTATTTGCAGTTCTTTAAAACTGTAAAAAAATATTCCTTGTTAGTCAATCTAATCTAAGGACGAACGACCATTTCAACCTAAAACTGTTACAAATTTTAATACTTCCAGATAAATCAAAATCTTCTGACTACTTCTCTGACCATTTTTAGTACATGAGTCACCTGAATTCAATTGACTAATTACTTGCATGGTTACCTGCAAGTCTTGTAACTTTTTCACAATCGCGTTCCTAAAAAATATTAAAGCGAAATATTAAAAAAGCGTGGGGTGCTTTTTACTATTGACAACAGGCACGCTTTTTTTAAAAATAATTTTTTAGTGTGGTTTTCTATAAAAAGCATGTTTTTTAGTTTTTTAAAACTATTTTTTGTAATTAGTATATTGTCATCGGTCCTCGATATATCTACAAAGTTCGAACGAATTCTGACCGTTTAAAGATAAAGCGTGTAAAAAGGTACGCTCTTTCCTTAAAACTTCGAATAAGGTATCGGTCCGGAAATACAGCAATAATTATATGAAGTGTAAAACAAGGAAAATAGTTTTTAATTATCATATCTAAATCTCAGTGTACCTTCCTTGTATCCCAAGTTTGGTTATGTTCACCTTGTATCAAAGACCCTTGCAAATTAAATTTGTGACAAATTTAATTAATATCCTTTGTATCGAGTGTGGCAGTAATGGTTCTATGATGAATGATAACTGTCTTATGCTCGTAGTTTACGAAATTGTAACTTCTAATAATTTAAACATATGGAATGCAATTTTATGGTATTTTTACCTTGTGTAGGAAAAAACACAGCGGACATTGGAATACATTTTAAGAAACAAGATTGAAATTATAGTTAAATCTTTGCTTTACTTGATACCTTCGTATGATGAATGCATCAGCCCTGATGTATGGAAAAGATCTATGCCTTTATATTTCACAAAATGCATGGCCAGAGAGGGGGCGGGGCAGGGGTCCGCGTCGCCGTCGTCGACACGAGCTAGTTGAAAGGCATTGGACGCCGAAAGGTAGTTACAGACGCGATAATCTATACAAATGAATAAAATTGAAGTGTCTATTTATAATGTCTAAATTATGGGTTTTTGTCATGATCACACGGTTATTTGCAGGATAGCTATGCCTAAAAACCAGTTTAATATTTTTTTTGTCTGTTTGTCTGTTTGTTCCGGGTAATCTTCTAAAACGATTTCGATAAAATTTTATTACCAGGTAGCTGTCTACATAAGGAATAACTTAGGCTATCTGTCCTGTCAGAAAAACCCCTTTAAACTTTTGTCCGGTCCGGGCATCGAACCCACTAAGGTACCAGCTATTAATAATATATATTCATATCTCTAGGGCTATAATTATATACAGTTAAATAGTTAAATGTATGAAAGCGGTTTATAACTATCATACTAGTACTGCTTTATAATACCGTTACCGGAACGATCCACGTATTATAATTACATACCTATCTTGCCAATGGTTGTAAAATTGATTGTCACTTTAATTATATGATGAATATTATTTTTCTTATAAAAGACAACGCCCGCACTAAGAATATATCTATATCTATGGATCACAAAAAACTGTTGTTCCATGTGGGAATCGAACCTACAATACTCAGCGCAGTCTAAGTGCAGTCTAATATATAATATTTTGTCGTTGTACTAATGTTAATTTACTAAATTTCAGATTCGAGTTTAATAAACTTTATTCTCATAAAGAATTACATATCCACTTACATGAGAACACATTTTGGTTGAGATACAATCATTTGCCGAGCGGCGTGACACTAATGCAAATCAGCAAAGAAATTTAATTTTATTATAGTATATTTATACGTAAATTCTATATTTTATTACATTTTTAGCAACATATTAAAGCACATCGAAATGTATAATAAATAAATCTTTTAAGGTTAATTATCATACTAAAATATATCCTGTAAACTGTACAGAACTTCCATAATGTATTTTAATCTTAAGCTTTATTAAAATGCAGAGCTAAACATAAGTTGGATGCGATCTCCTTATTACGTGTTAAAAAGAAAAACATCAAAGTATTTCCTTCGTTTTCCTTCACGTTTAAAAGTATGCAAATTTAAATTAGAAACTATGGAAGCTATCGTAAAATGTAACAGTTATCATAAAGTTCGAAAACAAGCTGAGAATATCCTTGTCCCGAGTGCCGTTAAAAAGAAAATTCTTTTGCGCCAACGACTTGTTAACTGCTTTAAATCTAACCACCAAGTCGTTTGACTAAAGAAAGAATGAATTTCATACCATGGTAGCATCGATTTGCTTCTGTAGGATCCTGGTAATTTATTTTTTATCCGTGTGATGACGGGCTTAGAATGCGGAGTGTCACCACCCCCTATTCATCCCGTGAGTGTCGTAAGAGTCGACTGAGAGAGCAAACTACGCAGGACAACAGTACTGCAAAGAGAACGAAAACTCTACCAGCGTGGTATAGTAGTCCAAAACCTCCTTTGTTAGGAGAGGGCTATGTCCAGTAGTGGCCTATGAAAGGCTGTCGATGTGATGATGATGCATTTTTTTATGATAAGGGGCAGACGGTTATGGATGATTGGTTCGAGAGGCGTCACGGAACCCTCTCATACCGGCTGACGGTAGTGATCACCTGTATCTGTTCCGCAAGCAGCCAACGCCTGAGTGCCACCGATGCCGGACCGGCAACCGCAGCGGACACGGCCCTCCACACGTTGGCAAAATGCCCGGCGTGGGTAAAGCAGTGGCGTGACCTCGTGGTGGCCATCGGTGTGGGAGTCCTCTTGCTCGGTAGTATGATTGCCGCTATGGTACGGAGCGAGAGTGCGTGGAACTCCGCCGTCTCTTTCTGCGAGCAATTTATGCTTGCGAAGGAGATGACGGAGCGGGACCGGGAGAGGTTTAGAACTGTCCCGGTCCGCCGGAACTGGCCAGGTACCGCAGACGACTCGGGCGCCGGAAGTCGCAGAACGACCTCCGTCCTCCATAAGCGCAGGCCGGAGCGCTGCCGAGCACGCGCACCCTTTTGAGAGCACAAAGGGAACATGGGGGTTCCTACACAGGGGGTCATCTACACGCCGAGAATGGCCCGAGGTACGTCGGGGTACCAGGGATTTCCTTTCTAGGGTACACCTGGTTCCCTGACTACTGTCACCCGAGACGGCGTGCGGCTTTTACTCAGTTCGAGTCCAACATAATCACCTACCGGTGGGTGATATCCAAGCGGATTTCCCGCACAGGAAAAAAAAAGGGTTCAGATGAGTCACCTAATGTCGACTCCCGCCACCCATAGACCCCTGCAACTTAAAGAGTCGTTAGAGCGCTGCCAAGCTTTCATCACCCCGCCCCCAAGATTAGAGTAAACTCGCTAAATCAGTGACTAGAAACGAATGAATTGCATAATTAATTTTCTATTAATCCGTGGTATCACCAATCAGTGGCCCATATTTGCCAAAGTATGACTCTCCCACTATGGCGGTAATTTCACAGAATATATAAAAAAATTAAAAGAAGCCCACATTCCTATTTTATATGCAATCGGTTTATTTAAACACAGAAAAAAGGGACATGTGAAGCAACGCTGTGTCTCTAAAAATGAAGACACCCAACGTATCGCCACGAAGTAAATTCTGTTTAAGGACGTTCTTCAAACATTGACGTACAAATTTTAAATGATGCAATATTTTTTAAATTATGCGAAGTATTCGTAAAATTTTTCCGCGAATTAATAAAAACATGTTGTTTTGTACAGCACACCCATAAAAACGTACAAAAATGTTGACTATCTTTTACTCTTCACACCAAACATACAATACAATGCAAATATTGACTATAATTAAAGCACATATAGGAAGATTTCATTCATATTTCTTCTCTATGTGACAAAATCTCTGCTTGGAAGTTTCAAACTATCGTGACGTAAGCACCTGATTGCGTGGAGATTAACTTGTCCACCTACGTCCTTAGGGATATATTCGATAAATCGCGCGTTAAAAATCTAGCTGAAAGCGAATACAAATACGCGTGCAAAACTAATCCTGTCCATTTACTGTAATCCTTGGTCTGAAAAGTGTCGGGCTGATTAATTGCCACCGGTTACTAGTATTATTATACATCAATACGACCATGATGGCCTGTTGGCGAAGTGGTTAGAGAATCCAGCCAAAAAGCGTATGTTCGATTCAGGACAAATAGTTGTTTGATGAGTACGATCATATATCATTTCTTCTGTGTCTTACTGTTACTTATTTTATGAGTAAAATAGGTTTATTTCCACAAATATCTATTATGTTTAAGACCAGTCTACAGCACAGGCTCTGCCTAGTTCAGGAAAGGGTGGCCGTCGGGAGATACGTCAACAGATTATTATTATCAAAGATTGTTAAAGGTTACTTTAGATGTTTAATTATAGAGTCAAACATCTAACAGGTGGGCCAAAAGAAATCACCCTATTGGAAGATGCTCTTATTTTTGCAAATGGCGGCCAATGTCAAATCTGTTTTAACATTTGTAAACTAGACAGAAGTAGAATACAAGTGAACAAGCCATGGAGCGATACACTCACCAAGAACGCGGCACAATCGTGTCTATTTTTTTGCGTAACAATTCGTCTGTGGTGTTGGCGCAGCGCGAATTCCGTCGCCGATTCCCCGGTCGTCCGGCACCGACTGCGCAAACACTGCGCCGTTTGGCCACCAACCTTGAAGAGTATGGAACCACACGAGACGCTGCCAAGAGTGGCCGGCCTCGGAGCGCCCGTTCTGCCGAGAATATCGCCGCTGTTGCCGAGGATGTCGAGCTGTCGCCAGAAACATCGACCAGACGCCGTGCCTCGCAATTAGCCATCAGCCGGTCGTCCCTAAGGCGAATTTTGGTCAAAGACCTGCGCATGTTCCCGTACAAAGTCCAGTCCGTGCATCACCTGCTGCCTGTCGACCGCCAAACGCGTGTAACCTACGCCCAAGCCATCCTCAATCTCGAGGACGAAGTGGACGATTTTTCGACCAAAATCATAATGAGCGATGAGGCTCATTTCCACCTCAACGGGTACGTGAACAAGCAAAACTATCGCTTCTGGGGCACCGAAAATCCACGAGTGATGCACGAAGAGCCATTACACCCACTCAAAGTGACTGCATGGTGCGCTGTTCACGCTGGAGGAGTCATCGGGCCATTTTTTTCGAGGACGCCGCTGGTCAAACGACAACAGTGGACGGTGCGCGCTATAGGGCCATGTTAACAGAGTTTTTTCTGCTGCAATTGAACGAATTAGGACTGGAGGACATGTGGTTCCAACAGGATGGAGCAACGGCACACACTGCGCGAGCCACAACCGATATTCTGAAGACGGCGTTCCCGGGTCGCCTCATCTCTCGTTTTGGCGATTTGCACTGGCCCGCAAGATCGCCCGATTTAACCGTTCCAGACTTTTTTTTGTGGGGTTTTTTGAAGTCCCGTGTTTACGTGAACAAGCCCGAGACCCTGGAAGCCCTCAAGGACAATATTAGACACGAGTGCAAGAATCTGTCGCCCGAAGTTCTCGCCGAAGTGATGAAAAATGCCATAAAACGAGCCCGTATAGCAATCAATTGTGGCGGCGCCCATTTGGCCGATATCATCTTTTCGACTTGACCAATAAAATTCTAAAAGTTCAAATAAACATAATCAAAAAACAGAATTGAAGTTTTTTATTCAGAAAAAAAATGAGAGCCAAACAATATCGGATGACGTCTTTTGGCCCACCTTGTATATTTATATAAGTATAAACTTATATACTATACTTAACTTATGTATGTATAAATAATTGTAGAACTAAAAACATAATGTATGAGTAATATATTTAATTCACAAACTATTTCAATATAAGCAATAATAAGATAAGAAAAAATATAATAAGGAAAAATGTTCCTACTGTCAGTACAGACTTTTCCTAATTATTTTACTGCAATAACTTGGTAAGGAATTTCGACCATGTTTTAAGAATTGACGTAACTTAGGTTATCGGACGTTGTGTGCCGACACAGATGTTATGAGCGAAATTGCTACCTTCACACAATACAAGCCATTCATTTGGTAGCGTACATAATGTACTTCTTGACTCTCTTCGAGGTCTAGGTAGTAGAGCTGGGGTAGGCTGGGTGGTTTTTAGAAGAATCACTACATACTCCTGGCTCCGGAGTCTCCGACAAGCAGAAGATCGGAAGGGATTTTCCACCCCGTCAACAAAAAAAATATTACTTTCTCACTTATAGTTAAAAAAATACATCTTCCTCGGAAGCTTTTTCCTAAATTAGGTTCGGTTGTCGATACGGCTGAACTCCGATTTTCTACGCAGAGCGACTTCCATCAGACCGGCACAACCCAAGTACTCAGAAAGTCTGTTCTCAGTTCTGTAGAAAGACGGTTGTTGAACTTTTTAAGGGCTCCCACTACACTACTACTACTATTACAACACTACTACTACTGTTACTAGGACTACTACTGGTGTGGAAATACCCCAGACGTTCGTATGGTAACCAGGACCGACGGCTTAACGTGCTCTCCCAGGCACAGAGGGGTTTCAATGTGTTAAAAAATGGTTACCTCATCCATAGACTGACCTGGCTAGGATTACTTAACTTTTCAATGTGGTAATCTACTCGGTTACCACTTAGCCACGAGCTCCTCCGAACGATATTATACGATTCATCAATCATCAACAGCCTTTACTAGTCCACTGCTGGACATAGGCCTCTCCTTAGAAATGATGTTTTAGCCTACTACAAAACGCTGGCCAGACGTGTTGGTATAGGGTTTGTGTCAAGTTTTCCTTCTCTCTGCAGTGCTGTTGTCCTGCGTATTTTGCTCCCTTAGTCGCCTCTTACGACACCCACGGGATGAATACGGATGGTGACACTCTGTATTCTTAATCCGTCACCACACATTATACGATTACAAATTTATTTAAAACACTTAAGTAGGGTATGGTAATTACAAGTGCACATTTGATTTTCATTACTAATTAATGTGCAGTTTTGCCAGGAACGGTTCGATTCAAAATAGCAGATCAAAAAGAAACAATGCTGGTTAGAAGTTGTCCATGATGCTTCAATTTGAGATATAACATTATACTGCCGAGATGTGATTTGATATTGCCTGTTAGAACGTTGTCGAAAAGGTATTTACTATTTTAAGATATACAAATGTAATATCAATAAAGCTACAGATTTATCTATGAAAATTAGAATAATAACTTGAGACGTCTTACATACAGCCGTCTCTTCCTAAACTATGTACACAGAGCCTGTACTATGGTAACAGAAGTACCTAGAGGGCAGTAATCACACCCCAACATAGAATAATTAATCGTGCTCACCACACAACTGTATGTATTGGGTAGAAATTGAACCTAATACCAGACCAACAAGCGAGTCAAATATATAAAAAAGGTTTTTGATATCCTACACTCGATTAATATTAAATGTACATAATATGTAATGTGCCTTCCATTAACAGTGTAGAATGAACAAAAGATTCACAGTAAAGTTCTAGAAACGTTTAACAAAAGATCGTCGAGAAATCAATGTGCAGAATTCTATCCGATGTACGCCGGCTCAGGCTATCAGCTGGCGCAGCTGGCGGCATTAGAGGCTTTGTTTCTGAATCGACCAGTAACTCGGTATGCTTGCATTCATCCTAATAGCACATACAGTGAAACCACGTTACGACCCAATACAAACGTACAAAACAGACGATGATAATAAGGTTCTAATTATTGGAAATATTAACTTGTTTCGAATTAATTTCAGTTATAGCTGATACATTTTGCGAACTATAGTATTGCCCTTGCTATTGTGTAATACCGACTATTACTTTTAATTTTCCTAATAGTAGTCTAATAACACATAATAGCTTGTACGTGCATGTATGTAATTTGGTTGGAAACATTTTACTTTATATTCTACTAATCAAACGTATTCTGTCCGTGTGGTGACGGATTAAGAATACAAAGTGTCACCACCCCTATTCATCCCGTAGGTGTCGTAAGAGCCGCCTAAGGGAAAAAACTACGCAGAACAACAGCATTGCAGACAGAAGGAAAACTTGCCACAAACCCTATACAAACCCGTCTGGCCAGCGTGGTATAGTAGGCCAACACCGCCTTTCTAAGGAGACGCCTATGTCCAGCAGTAAACTATTAGAGGCTGTTGATGTGATGTGTGAAACATCTTTCTTTTGGAACGATGTTCCTTATCGCACTCTGAGCGGATGGAAACGAGACCAAAAAATGTGTACCAAGATTTTTTCCGACGCTTCTTGCTATAGTTACAACCGTGTATGAACTATATATGGGTTCTACCAATAAGAACGTCCTGGTTTAGAAATTGAATAAAACACACAATTGTTGATGAAAAATGATAATTTTATGCCATTTATGTTTTAAATAATATATCGGCCAAATGACCGCCGCGGCTCTTTTTGCAGACGGTCATCCGCTTACGCCAATTTTCGATGACGCGGTGCACCATTTCGGCCGGTATGTCGGCTATGGCTCGTCGAATGTTGGTTTTTAGGTCACGAATTGTAGCTGGATTATTGCTGTACACTTTAGATTTAACTTAACCCCAAAGAAAATAGTCTAAAGGTGTTAAATCACACGATCTTGGTGGCCAACTGATCGGTCCATTTCTCGAAATTAATGACTCCCCAGACTTTCCACCCAATAATTCCATGTTCACTCGAGTAATGTGTGCACAATCTTGTTGAAAATCAAGGTCGTCTGCATCAATATCTTCAAATTCCGGAAAGAAATATTCGGTTAACATCGAGTTATAGCGCTCGCCATTCACAGTAACAGGGTTTCCTTCATCACTTTCAAAGAAGTTTTGGACAATTTTCAAGCGTTGGTTTAAAGTGAAACGTGACATGATAAAATGGCAAACCTTACTGAATACAAATGTCAAGAGACGTCAAAGATCCATCATCAAACATGGTCGCTATGAGCTGTCAAAACCAGGTCATCCCTATTGGTAGACCCTATACATCGCCCTGTATGTCGTACCGACTGGGGTCCATAGAGCCCTCACGCCGTTTTTTTATGGCATATAGCATAACTAATGATAAGTGACTACCACTGCCTAAGACACCTGCAACTCAAGAGTCATTATAGCGTTACCACCATTTGAGCCCTATCTTCCAGAATCTGGGGGAGAGGAGTTTGGGCTCCAGTCCAAATCCCTCACTCACCTGGTGAAATGCAGTAAGAGCCTGTAGAGGGCCTAGTGCAAGTTTATTTCACAACTATTCGCTTTCGAAGGCGAGCGCGTTTAGCGTTGCGATTGGTGGAGATTTCAGTGCGGGCCAATCGGAGTGCTGGACGCGGTCACCATGACGATTGTGTAGACATAAAATAAACTCGCACTAGGGTCTCTGCTTGCTTAACACCGGGTGTCTGTGAAGCCGTGGTTACACTCCGGTCTAGTCTGGCCCATAATGTGCCGAAACAAGGCTCTCCTACGGTAAGTGATCTAAAGAACCTGTATTCAGCAGTGGACTATGATAAAGCTTAGCTTGATAAAATATCGCAAATGACGACCTCTGCCACTTCGATATGACCTCTAACTACATAATCCAAGTATCCTAACAAGCAGTAAAGATATTACTCGCCTTCGAGATGGTTCTCAATTATAGGATAGTGTAATGTAACAATAGACTCGTCGAACTTATGATCAGAAGGCCAATTCTCGTAGTAAAAGTTGGGTCAAAATTCAATTCCGATCAACTTTTGATCTGGCAACTCTCATAACAGGTATTTTCGTAGTGAAATAGTAAAGTATTTATAACACTAGGAGATTATCGATTTAATTTTCGATTATAATACAATTACATTACAGTCAGCGATGGATGTTTAATACTTTAATACGAAAATTCCTTTTATGACAGTTATGAGATCGAGAGTTGATCGGAACTTTTATTATGAGAAGTGGGGTCAAACTGATGGAAGCCAAAAACCGATACATATAGTGAGGCAAACACCGATATTATTTAAAACAGTCGACTCTCGATTTTGCCGTCATATCCTAATCGGGGTATCCATGTGATGACCCAGATGTACCTAAGTGATATTGACTGTGGGAGCTCAGTCAACAAAGGATAAAAGTTTAATGATGTTGTTTTTTTTATCAGATAGATAGATAATATCAAAATAACAAGTTCGTTTGTTGGTCCGATAATCATCTGGATTAGTGTCAGACTTGCGCACTTTCGTACGTAGTAAAAATTATTTTTTAATTAATGTGTAAATTTGGTCCTAAGAAAGCAAATATACAAGATTTTTGTATGTCGAAATTTTTAAAAATTGGAGCATAACTTTTAACTGATGTTGATATTATACCTATATAAGGTATATAAATATTGGTTCTATAACTAACCAAACTATTACTTCATTATTATCATCAACAGCTTTTAGCAGTCCACTCCTGGACTTGGCCTCTTCTTAGAAAGGAGGTTTTTAGACGGTAACTCTTTAACTATTACTAAATAGTATTAATAAAATGTAATCAGACAATTTATCTATACTAATATTATAAAGCTGAAGAGTTTGTTTGTTTATTTGTTTGAACGCGCTAATCTCAGGAACTACTGGTCCGATT